AAAATATAGTATTATAAATCAATTGTAAAAATATTAAATTGGATTTAGTAAAAAATATATATATATAATTATTTGCTATTTGGTATTTAATCAATAGTAAAATTAACAGCAAGTTCTTAAGTAGTAGTCAAGATTTTATTAATATTTTGCAAAGTATCAAAAGACTATTTGATAATTGGTTTATTACTAATAACTACTTTGATTGTGATGAAAACAATAATATCAAAGATTGATTATTATAATTTAAATAAATATCTAATTAATATTGTTAATTAAATTTATTAAATTTATTTATTTATATTTTTAATATCAGCTTGAAAAAAAATTTTTTTATAATAAAATCATGAAAAAATGGTATTATATAAAATAAATGATTCTGAATTTAGATTAAAACTATTGCTTTCTTATTATTATTTCAGAAATTACTTAGTTCTTATTAATAAAGCAATAAGTTTTTATAAGAGTATAACTTATTTAAAAAAGAATAATTATGATATTTCCAAAAAATATTTGTTGTATATTGAAGATATTATATTCATTAATGTTAGCAAAAAAGGTAAGAATTATGCAAAGATTCAAGCAATTTTTAATTACAAATACAATGATAGATTAATTGATTTGAAAAAACTAAACAAACAAATGGAATATTAAAATATTCAATTTATAAGATTCAATTTACAAAAATAGAAGTTGGCAATGGGTTTATCTGTTAATAATGATTAACCAGATAAATAAGATTAATTTTGTTCACAATTGTATATTCAGAAAGTGTATTGATAATTATGATTTATCAAATATGTATTTTTAAAAAATAATTATTTTTTAAATATAATTTAATAGATAATATATAACAATAACTATAATAAACACTCTTTAAATATACATCTCTTGGAACTATAGAAAATTTTTTGAAAAATGTGTATTTATATAGAATGTGCATTTATAAAGGTAATTTTATTAGGATTTCTATATACTTAAGACTAAGCTTGACCATATATTTAGAGAGAAAAATATAGTAAGTGTATTTATAGAAGGTATATTTAGAAAGGTCTCTCTGTACTTTATTGTTTAATTAAAATTATATTATGATTTGATTGTAATAACTTATAAATGTATTGCTATAAATTCATAACTATATTAATATCTAATTTCAATAAATTTACAATTACATTGTTACTTAATTGTGTTTATATTATTTGCTCAATTATTATTATAAGACAATTCTGCAAATGAATTGATATGTAATAATAATTATATTGCTATAATCTTATAGTAATTTGATGATAACTTATAAAGAATTTGAAATTTTTTAATTACTATTTAATTGGAGAGATTGATAGCAAAATAGTTACTATTGCTATAACTAAATTGAAGCAATTTTCTTATAAATATCATGACTATTTGGTGGTGGCTTTGTAGTAATTTGATAAAGTTTCAGTGGAGAACTAATAAAACAATGAGCACCTTTAGTAAAGAAATCTTATTTAAACAAAAATAAATATATAAATAGATAACAATTCTTAAAATGATTATATTTTATAATTTTTTTGCAATAATATTTTTTTACAAAACATTAAATGTAAAAAATGTGAAAAAAAATTTTTTTATTTTCTTTTGAAATTCAATTTTTCTATATTGTTGAAGATCTTTACTAGGGCTCTAAAAAGCATTGATCTAATATTGAAATGATACTGAAATGGTATTGATTTATAATAAATTTAGTATATAGATTATGACTTACTCATATGAATTTATAATAAATTTAAGTATTAAACTGATATCAAAGTGGTATTGTTAAGAGCTCTAATCTTTACAAAGTAAAGATTTTAATAACAATTAAATAAAATTCTTTTAATTTTTAAAATTTAATTTTAACACCTAAACTAATTTTGCTTGATTAAGGAAACATATTTTTAAAAATAAATTCTGCATTCAATAAAGTTTTCACTAAATTTAAATAAAATCCTATCATTTAATTTAATAATTTTATTTAATTAAAATTGCATATGATATGATGAGTTTATTAAAATTTTAAAAAATGTTTGTTATAGATAGAATTCATTATAAAAAATAAATTTACTTAATTTATTAAGGTCAATTTATATAAAAAATTAAAAACTTTTATAAAAAGTTATAATTATAAATTAATTATAAAATTTTGAAATTTAATTTATTGTTAGCATCAATTTTATTTATTAAATAGTTTTTTAAATATTCAACATAAATTTATAAAATTCAATAAACAAATAATTTAAAACACAATAAACAAATAATATAAATATGTGTAATTATTTTGAAGGAGATAAAAATGATAAATGATCTCGCATTTAAAAAAAATAAAAATAAAAAAATAAAAACGATAAATGTGTTTTTTCAGCCCCTATCTTTAACAATACAAAACAGTGTAATTTTAAGGATATAAAGTCCATGTCCACTTTCAAAAATAATTACCCATATTAAATTTAGAATCACACACAAAAAAATCGCCATACGAAATTTAAGTCCTAAATGTTATCAATAAACATCATTTAAAATTAGCGAAGCTTTACTGTGTATAAATTTAGTTATCTATATCATATTTACGTAATAAATAAAAGCATATATGCTTAATAAATAAAAGTTTAATATATAGCAAAATTTATGTAAAAAATTTTTTTCGGATTTTTTTGAAAACCCCGTATTTCAGATTTTCTTTTATTGAGTAAACCGTGACCCGGAAAATTTTTGATATCGTAACTACTTTCATTAGTGCTTCGACCATCAGCATATATGAGTAATTATTTTCGAAGGCAGACCGGAAATTTTTTGATGTGATTCTAAAATTTATACTATGTATTTATTGTTTAAAAGTTGGGTCCGAAAAAATCATATCTAGCATTTTTGTCACCTTCAAAAATAATTACCCATATAAACTATTTGTATACAGTTTCTTTTATCAAGAGTTAACCATAGTCTTATTTAAAACATTCCTTAAGGATTATTTCATTCTTGATTTCGTTATAGACTTTCGAGAGTCTAAGCTATGAGAAAAATATTAATATGATTCAAGACGGAGACTAACTCATTCATCTCTTATTCAGAATCCACAGACTAAAACAGATATGAACCCGATCTGACAATTTGAAAAATCATAAAACTCCAAAAGAATCGTGTCCACATTACAAAGAAAAAGGTTGTCCTTCCTGTCCGAAGACATCGTAAAATAAGTCAATCAGAATTAAGTGATGATATACAAATAAGAAAAATAGTCACAAAGGAACCTTGGTTTCATCAAAAAATTTTGTTTAGGAATGATGGATCAATTATATGCTTGATCCAACATTTCATCCCGTTGACCAGGATTTGCGAAATCATTACAATCATTTTTTCTTATCACGTTTTAAATTATCTTCTGACATTTTTCTTCATCTTTTTGTCTAATTTTTATTAAGGACAGTTCTGTTAGTCATTAAATATCCTTGTCTATAACAAGATTACTTTTCGATACCGCAAAATTAGATAGAATGTTTTATCGCTTACAAGATAAAGATTGTCGCGGTTTGCTTTTTTATCTGGTTTTTTATGCAGAAAATGATAGGTTAAAATAATTGATCTCGGAGGTGTTATTATCGTTTCTTTTGAAGGCATTGGGTTCGAAAGCCTTGGGGTGGTAGTACTGCTCATTTTCACAATCTTTACAGTAAGTTTTCAAATAAGTTTTAAATCCTAATTAAATAGTGGTACATCGTGTCGAATAATCATCTGATGCAATTACTGTCCTAACACAAAAGCGTGTTAAAGAATCTAGTGTGCGGACGCTCGGCGAGTCTGTCGCTAAAGTGGGTCAGAGTATCGCGTAACCGTCGATAGGGTAAGGTAATTAATGAAATTTAAGGCGTGTTTGATTTGGCTGAGTAAAAGATAATCAACTGTCCTTTATTTACTTTTACTTCCATCTTTTTATACATTTTAGTTGGGACGGTTTTAACATTCTGAAAAATAAGGGGACATTGATTATCTAATGTCTTCTCGTGGTTCTCCCTAATTACATAATGCTCGATAAAAATGATTTATATTACTTAATCGTTTTCACTCACCTCCCCTCATTACCTAATTCTCTAATCACGCTATTCTACTACTATTTTAACCATTTCCCATCACTTTTGCTGACACTTTTCCACCATACCCCTTTAAGTACCATGACAGGAACGGGTTCTTTGCAGCACAATCGCGACGATTAGTCACGTGTTACGATTTTTACCCTCTGGCACTAGTAATGAACATACCTCTACCAATATTTCCTTCGGCAAAAAAGACAATAAGTCAGTCAATTAATAGGGATGGTTCTCCTATGTCAAGAAGGATAATTAAGGAATGAATTGCTGTTAATCTCCAGCAAAATTCTTTTGATAATACTATCACTTTACGGACATTCCCGAAATCGATAGAAAAACATGCTCAATTTTTATGAATTAAACGATACTATCATTAGAGCTGAAGTTAGCAATAAAAAAACTGTTATCATTATTGAAAAGGATATACTGTAGTATTAACACGTCTGAATAAAATTCGAGAACAGTTTCCTAATCAGGAAAAATTAGCTAGATTAAACCTTTTAATGGTATTAGGGAAAAGATAAGATAAATCATGTCAAAGCCTTTTTACATCATCGATTTCAAGGTTAAGCGTAGACGATATTGATTATGTAGTAGCCAAAGTTTTAAAAGCGAAGGAATATAGTTAATTGTAGAGCAACTCTATTATCACGAATTTATAGATTCACCCTTTTGGCTAGTTAATTATTATGCCACATATTTCCTTGATATGTGAACATATGTTCACACTTGATTATTTGACTTTCTCATCATTACAGTAAAATATTATGTGTGATGACATTTCTAAGAAACTCGTTTGATCTCACCCTTTTTTTCACTTTTCACTCTTTCCTCGGCTCCTATCAGATGCACCATCTTCGAAAACTCTTAAAATATTTTCAGTAAGGTTATTTGTTAATTTAAGATATGAAGGTGGGTGGTTATTATTTGGATAAGACGGTCAATACTCATGTAATACTCTCTCTACATCTTCGTCGTTTCAGAAAAACACTATTCCTCTCTACTTTAACATCTTATTATGACATAAAAAGCGGAACGATTCAAATGCTTTTCGAGAATTCATACATCGGCAAAAACCCTACAAAATTAGCATGCTCATTCCTCGTTTTAAAACTCAATTTTGCTGGACTTCGTACCAATTCAACATTTGACGTCTTCAATGTGAACTTTCACACAATTTTTAATGTGAGTATATCAGACTTTATGGATCATTATCAACAAGAGTTGGGACATCATTTTCAAGTTATCGACAAAAGTACAGATGCTTTGAGGAATTTTGAAAGGTTACTAAATGCTGTAAAATGGAATGACTACAAAGTACTTTTTTCTTGTTCAGTTATCATCTCTATTAAATAAAGAAACTACAAAACCAATATTCTTTCGCGTCGTTAGCTCTATGTTTTCATCGATGAATATGATGCTGGTATGAACAGGCCCTTAAAAACGAAACTGTCTTACAATTTCGTATTAATAAAATTTTTATTCTCTCTAGTTCTTATTTCACACGGCGATATTCGAAACTTAAAGAAATTCCAATTGATTGTAATCTATTGACGAGGATGATATTACAGTATATAGTATGCAATATGCGTTTCTCATTTGGTTAATTATAAGTAATATTTTTATTTAGCGCTGCACGGATCTTTAAAATTTTTTATAAAAAAACCTATTTGTTTTATTTTCCTATATAAAAAATATTCTATAAACATTCATAATTATAAATCATTTATATTTAATAAACTATGTAAATTTCTTTAATTTATTACATGTAAAATTTTAATAAAAGTTTATTGATAGATTATATATTATATATTTTTTCATATTTTACATAAAAATTCCACTCATTATGCTAATAAAAAATTTATGCATTTATCATTATGAAAATATATAATTTCTTCAAAACATTTTATTTTTGATGGTTTCTTAAAAAAATTTTTTTTTGATATTTGACTAGTTTCAACAAAACTTGCATATTTTTTAATTTTAGTTTTTTATCATATTCGCGCATTTATTTGTTAGATAGGAAATTTAAAATATTTTGATTTTTTTTAAACAACTTTAGTAAATAAATTTACATTTCTTAAAAAATTTTTTTAAACAAAATTTTAGTAAATAATTTTTATTTTGCTAATTTTGTATGCAATCGAATATATTTTTTTTATTAATTTAAATTAAAAAAAGGTTTGCACTTACAGTACGTATACGGTATCATCAATCATTCCTTATTTATTCTAATTACAGTACTTTATGCGTTGTGTTACATACTCAATGCTTTATATCACACGCAATGTAGTGTAAGATATGTTCTAAAAGCGTTTCAGAATGTCATCGAACTTGAAACTATTGCCCTTATACAATGACAATAAGTCGCAAGATTTTCTCGATGAAATTGTCGAAGAGTTATATAATTTGTATAACAGGGAAAAATTAAAAGGAAAAAAAACTGAAAGGATTTTTGTCATATTTGAAGAATATTTGTCCAAAAAACAGATAAAACCGGAAAATGTAATTAATCGGTGTCTAACAAATAAAAAAAATTCCATGGTCCAATTTATTCTTGCAAGCTGTCATCTCTATGGTAAATGGGTAGAAAAGAATGAAAAACGAGCATTCGAATGTTATAAA